ATAGCACTGGCCCCAGTACTGACCCCTGAGGAACAAGTGAGAATAGTTAAACCAGCTAATTTTTAATTTTTCAGTTTGGTTAAGTAAATTGGATCACCAAGACAAATCACTCAGTTTGTCCCAGGCTGGATTATATAGGCTCTTGAAATAATAGTTAGAAGTGCTGAAAGATAAGCAGCAGAGCTGAGATCTCGTTTTGAGTATTTCTATAACGCTAAGAATTCATATCATGTTAGTTCCAGTAGGAGTATTTATATTTAACCTGACATATGCACAACAGACTTAAAGGATTCTTTTTTAACTTCTGCAGCTCTGACTTGCAGAGGTAATTTAAGGCTGTAAGAGTACTGCTGCTTAAACTTTTATTTTTGGAACCTCTTAATCTATTTGTAACGGAGAGCAAGGTCATACAGTCCCTACAAGCTTTATCCTTATTTCCTGCAAATCTCATTACTGCTCTGGAGCACAAGCAGACAGTTGCGTCTTAGTCCTGGACATCCTGGTAGGATTCAGAGAGGTGCTAATTATTGTGATAGGGAGACAGTGACATGTAGTTCAAGTAACATCAGTGCCAGATGCTGGGCTAGAACAAGTTTCAAGCAGAGTGGCAGCATGCAGTCTTAGTAACAAAAAGCCCTCTAAACACAGAAAAACTCCCTTCATCTAGTCACCTGTGTTGTACAGTAGCAATACAACACCTGGCACTTGGTGAAGCTGGCTTTTCCTTTTTTGCCGCTGAACTCCAAGCGGAAGAGAAGCTGATGATCCCGGCAGAGCTGGGGTCAGGACTTCGATGAGGAAGGGGTGAATTCCACGTGGAGTGCTGCCTGCATTGCCTTCTGTTCTTGGGCACTCCTAAATTTAGCAGGGCATCCAAAATCCATAGGTGGGCACCAGGAACGACAGACTAGGCAAGGCAGATGCATGTGGATAAGCAACAGACAAGGGAAAGCTGAAAGTAAGGAAAGCCTAGGAGCAGTTTACAAAAGAGCTTGCCAATGTAGAATTTCATATTGGGAAACTGAATTTTCACCTAGACATTTTCCTGAAATTTAATATTTTAATAATAATAATTTAATAATATAATATAATAATTTATATTACAGTATTTAATTTATTGCCTTCCAGGAGAAGATGTGATGAAAAGTAATGTAGTGTATGATCACCTAAATGTTAATGTTATTTCTGTTTGACGATTTGAGGAATAAAAGAAAGCAATCTGACAATGTGTTTCTTCAAGGGGATGATATATTGTCAGAGGACATTCCTGTAAACCAACCTAGATCAATAGATACACAATATAATTAGCTCACATCTGATTTCTTTTCTTTTTCTTTTTTTTTTTTAAATTAGTAAGTGGCAGATTGGGAGCAGTTACTGGGAGCAGTTACTGACTTAGGTTTGCTCTGGGTCATCAGCTGCTCAGTATTTTGCCAGATTATTGAGAGGGAAAAATAATTAATACACCAATTAAATGTAGATCATGCAAATCTAGAAATTTCAAAATAACTTGTAAGAAAAGATATGTAAGGAACATAAAGCTAATGTATTTTGATGGTAGGTGAGTAAAACTGATTCGCTGCACAGTATCTTGTGAAAAACAGCGTTGTGGTGTGGGGGAGGGTTAGGCTTCTGTAGACTTGTTTATAAACTAGGATATCTTGACTTTAGAGAAAGATTCTGGGCAGAGCAGCCAATTATAAAAGATTAGGAAAACAGAGCACACAGTGAAACATTTGCAGCAAGGGAGAGCCGCAGGATTTTTTGTTAAGATGTTTCCAGAAGGCTTAGAGACTGGGCATCCCTGGCAAATAAGAAGAGAATAGAAGAGCCGTGTAGGCTAAGCGTTACCAAGCACCTAGGCACCAAACCAAGTTACAAAATCGTTTTCACTAGTGAGACCAGACATGGACCAGGAAAGGTGGCTCGGGTGTGACGCTAGACCCTCTTCTGACTCACCTGTGTAGTTCTGGCTAACCCTGCATAGCTCTGGTGACTCGGTGCGGGTCCCTTGGGATGCGTGCAGGCGTGGGTGCTGCTGGCTGTGCTCCAAGGGGGTGAGGGGGCCTGTGCCTGGAGGCCTGGCACCCCTCCGGGTCTAATGCTGCCCTCGGAACAACATCGGTGTTAGAGCCATCAGGTTAGATCTGTGCCATCCCCTGGGCTGCTGCAATGCTGTTATGTTCCTTGTAAAGGATCCGTGGGTGAGTTTTGCACGAATATGGGGTCCTGCAAGAACGCTTCTGGAGGACTGGAAATGTGGCTTTCCTAATTTGAGGAGCTAATTTTATATGCATACATTTGTGTATAAAAGTGTGTGTGTGTATATATATATAGTAAAATTATACATTAAATTACAATTATCTATTAATTATGTGTAATAATTATAACTTATACCCACAGTAACTATAATTAATGTATAATAATTACACATAAATATGTCTTGGATGCAGATTATTTTAATGTAACTTCTTTCTGTTGCGACCTGGCAGCTAATATCCTGGAAAAACTTGCTACTTGGTTATTGGCATTTGCATGAAATTGTTATTCACTCCTCCCACTCATTTTTCAGTGGTACTGAGCTGAACGTTGCAGTGCTGCGTACCCGGGCACATGGGAGCCGTTCCTGCTCCACGAGGAACAGCAGGAGGGTGCCCCAGATGAATGAATAGTTCTTTTTTCCTTTCTGTCCAGCAGTACAATCTAACAAACTTGAATGAAATTTTAATTTATGCTGAGGCTTCCCGGCTGCTTGCCGCTTCTGTAATTCAGAGTGACATATCCAACTTGCCTGGCTGTTAACTTTTTACTCCCCAGCTCTCAAAAAGCTGGGTGGGTGTCCGGTTGCACTCTCAGTGAGGTCCTGACATTTACTTTGCTGTGCAAATTAAAAATAGCAGCTGCTGTCCATTTCAGCATATCGGATGATTGCAGCGGTGCAGAGCAGACAGCGTGTGGGCTGTTGTCCTTCCTCCTGAGGACACTTGCCGGTGGTAACTTGAAGAAGTTTTAAGTACTCACATGTCTCAGGAGCACAAAAAAAAAAAAAAAAAGAAAAAACAAAACTGTTTGTGGATGTGTGAGAGGACGAGGAAGGGTAGGAAAGGGAAGGCAGCTTGTTCTGTTATGTGAAATGTGATTCTTTGTTTTTCACTTAATGTTAAAGCAGCATTTTAAAAAAAGGATTACTCAACCAGTTAGGTAACGTTACTTTACCTGCATTCCAATTTACAGATGAGCACAACATTAACACAAAATACGGAGAAAGAGAAGTTTTTGTGTTGGCTTTGAGGTCACACTGTGATTCCATTTGGTTTTAGTACGCGCTTTTTTTTTTTTTTCATGGGATT